TGTTTTTTATATTACTGCTTTATCGTATGTGAAAGCCAGCACCAAAACCTAAACCAAAAGTTTAGAATGAAATTGGCTGAGTGAAGAATGACGACTTACCTTTGATTTCTTCTACTATTAATTTATCACATATTTGCTTTTCATATGTCTCTATATGTTCTAAAGACTCCTGAAATAGATCTGCCTCTCTCATCACTTGATTTTGATATAAAATCAGTTCACTATATTCATAATCTATTTTATTAGGAGGAATCTGGGGGGGGAAAAAAGCAATAGGTTAGTTAACATTTACCTGTATACCAATGGTATGCAGTATTACAGAACTCAAGATTCAGGCTACAGAATTTATTACATCTATTTTTATACCCATTCAAACATTCACAGTTTAAAACCCCCATTATTCACTATCAAATTAGATTAATTCAGGATATCCTTTGTTAGAGAACAGTTTAAAATAATCCTGTATTTCTCTATCACTGTGGTGAGCTAATTAAAAACAGAATCTTTGCCTTCTCTCATAAAATTCAATACAAATTGCAAAGGTCTTGGTAATCTTTTCCTTGTGAAGGACTCTTGTACTCCACACCAGTGTTGGCCTAAGTTCCGTAGCAGATTGCTGGGATATCACAATACCCATTTTTAGCATACCAAAAATTCTGGATCAAGCTATTTCCAACAGCAATGAACCACCCAAATACTGGCCATAGCTTCACACCCATAATTTTTCAGACAGGAAGCTTACGTTATTTCTCTCTAACCAAGTCTTCTTTGTACTACACTTCAATCCCCCGGCAAGCACAGTGCACAAACATGCAAACACAATTATTCTGAGGTCTGCTGCCAGTTGCATACCTAGAATTATTGTCAATAGGCTGTAGTAAAACTAGTGGATCACCTGCCCTCCAGTGACACATCAGCCACCGAAACAGAATGACATTCAAAAGTATTCCTTTCTAGGGATAAGTCCCTAAAGCATATTTAGGCATTGAAAAGTCTTACCAGATTCATAATAATTTCATACTAAATGCTCTTCACAAATATACACAGAAGCTACTTCTATTACAAGTAAATTGCAAGAATTTCAGAGATCAAATGCAGAAGTCTGCAGAAAATGCCCAGCAGATCTATACAACAGTATGCTATGCAAAATACACTGCTTCACTAGAAACTGTAGAGACAGTTAGTCCAACATGATTTTAACAAAAATAGATATGAAGTGGCTGAGCTTGATAAATGTTAATGATTTTCTTTCCCATGACACTACATATTTTGTTTCTTCCTGAGCAAGCAACACTTTCAAGTCACACTGGTCAAACGGTTTACTATTACTTTTCTGTTCCCCAAGTAAAGCTCTTCCACCACCTTCTTTAAAGAACCAAGTAATTTAATTAACAAAAACAAACTAAAACATTCAACTGGTTGAAATTAACATTCATATTAAAAGAATCTTGTCCTAAACCACTACTTGCAGCCCTTCCCGAAGCACAGACCAATTCTATGAGATTTAACATTTCTGTTTACATGCTCCTTGAATTTTAAGAGGCAGCTTTTACAGTACAGTGAATTTTTAGAAGGAGGATTTCCTTTTAGATAGAAATGTCCTGAAAGACAGCATAGCTAAATAAAATAAAGAAGGGTGTATCTTGCAATGAACATCAGTTTTGGGTGCTTTAAATAGCATTCAAGTATTTTTTAGTATCTGCTAACATATTGTAGCAAATGATGGCTAATGAAACAAGACTAGACCTTGCACATAGTAGAATCAGCACATAGCATAAAATCCTATGCATTCCTTAAGGTGTATTTCCTCTATCTGCAGCTCCATTTCTGCTTCCACCTTTGCTCGGTTTTCATCCATATTAAACACTGGAAGTCACTAATAAAGACATTGTTACCCAGAAAGCATTTTAACTGCTCCACAGACTTGACACACCCAACAGGAGTTAAGCATTTAAGCATGTCTTCCTGCTTATCCTCACTGCCACACCACAGAACTGAAACTGCAGAACACCAACTTCGTTCTTTCTCCTTCACTTCCCTCAAAAATATCCTCCCCTTTAATACAATATACATGTCCAAATTCCACAAGCAGTACAGCTTTTTAGCACGTCATGAATTGCTTTTAGGTCTTCAAAACATAGATTACTCCAATAATCCTCAAAAAAGTATGTAAAAGACCAGCAACAGGTATCATTTAACATTCTCGTAGCTCTTCTGGCTTGGCAGCACTAACAAAACAATGAAATGTAAAAAAATCAAATTAACTCCCTCTTACAGGGCAAATCCGCCAGAAAGATACTGCACTTGCTGCCACTCCATTTAAAAAGCTATTCTTAAAAGAAGTTTTAAGGAAAGTTTATTTTTAAAGAGATTTTGAAATCTCTTCAGGTTAATGATGATTTAAATAAACAGTTCATCAGAAGACAAGCAGCTTATAGCCCCAGTACTTAATAATCAGACTGTCTTATAAAGAATAAGATATTATATAATGTTTTTTCCATGCCATCGTTATTGCTGCACAACACATCTGAACTCCTCCCTCCTCCCAGAAGAGTAATGATTCTTGCACACGAGATCTCCATCTTTCTTATGAACTCAATTCTGCTGTTTCACAATAAATTTCTTCCTCTCTGGACCAGAAAAGAATCAACTTTACAACTGCAGATGCCCTAATGTAACTGTCACTGAAACAATGTGACAAGATGCAGCCAAAACATACCTAAGAGCAGACCCCCAAAACTCCAGAGGTTTTCTGTCCATATCTGTAATTGTGGGCCTGATGCAGAAATTAGGAATAAAATAAAAATTAAGAATAAAAATTTTGTTCTGGAAAAGAAGAAAGGAAAAATGGGACATACAACAGTAAAACAAATTGCATAGTTGTTTTACACCTTGGTTCCCAAAATGTAAATTCTGAAGCGACTCTTAAGTCATTTCATTTAGCTTGGACAGCACAGGCTGTTATATTTCCTGCAGTGATGTCTGCATTCAACCTCATAACCTGTTTTTGACTGAAATATTGTGCATCTGGCTAATTTACAGCTTTCAGATGACACGCAACGCTGATCTGGATACATCAAGAGACAGAAAATTCACCATTTCCGATGATAACTTAGCCATTAGAACAAAACTGTCAGTGATAAGAAGTGATTTATCATTTGAATTTGTTGCTCAACTTCCTGATGATTGTTTCTTTATTTTTCCCTACTAAGCAATCTTCCTTGCTATCATTCTTCCCATAACCAGTACCTAAACTGTACTACAATCATCTAGGTTTTTTCTGCTTACAGTAAAGGAGGTAATCTCTGCCCTTAACAGCATTTTCTCTCGTCCTCTCATCTTTTCATATTGTTCTTTTCATTTTCTAACTTCAAGAACAGGGCCATCATTAAGTCTTGATCTCTCAGCAATCAGTGCTCTACAGAGAAAAAATCCCCTCTTCTCAGAAATAAGGGTATTTTTTGGTTTTCACCCATAAGACTACCCTGAGGGACTATTCCACAATAAATTAAGTCAATCTAACTGCAGCCTGGATCAACAAAGGCAGTTCACTTCCCTCTGTTATTCCCCTTCCTCTTTCCCCTCTCACCTCACGGTTGTTCAGTTCAGCCAATCAATCCTTCAAAGGAGTGATTATTTTTCTGTCACTTTGGCTTCCTGAACCAGCCCTCCACGAGTCAACCAGTGCTGCACAAGGAAGTAGTAGGAGCACACAGGAAAAAGTCAGACTGCTGGTTTTGGCAACGGCTTGTAGCTAGATTAGCTCCATTATTTTGTAATACTGCATCTTCAGATACTCACCTACAGTCACTAAAATGACTGTTCCTTGACCTTTTTCTTAGTTTTATTGCTTGGCTTTGGCTGTTAATTCATATCTGAACGGACAGAGCTGCCCGAGTAATCCAAGTAAATGAATATAATCACCCTACATCACCATTATTTACCAGTTATTATGACAGCAGCATTTTACACAACACATTACATTTATTTCTTTATCCATTAACAACAATGGTAAACAGTATCAGGCATAATACAGATTGTCATAAAACTCCTCGAAAGCTTCAGTTTGTTGAAGGTTCCCATTCACTAGTGATTTGGAAACCCTTCAGTCTTTCAACTCTCCTTTTATCACAGTCACATACAATATTCTATTAATTCAGTTACAAAAGTTCAAAAAGAAAGAGAAGAAATTTGGAAAGTAAAGTAAGCAAGAAGCATACCTCCTACAAGATCAATGGAGTGTCCAGAACTCAACTATTTTAAGTGCAGGACTTAAATATCCAGAGACTGCACAAACAGTACATTTGGGGACTACTGTGGAAGAGCCAAAGCATGGCAAAATTGAGCTGAGGTTTGCCTGGGCTCTCCTGGCTGTTCTGGACCCAACACATTGATTCTCTCTTCCGGTGGCTGGGGCTCTACGTTGGCCTGCGCTCCTCGGAGACGGTACAGGAAAGCACAAGGCTATCTCTATTTGCAATAGAAATGAAGCTAATGTGGTCATCCTTCTTTTTAGTGTTTTGGGGAAGAAAACACAACGTGCCTCCTAACTGTCTCTACCAGTCTCCACAAGAAAAAAAAAAAAAAAAAAAAGGAAAGGCTTGACATGAATAATTTTCTATGAACTCACGTTGTCCAACATTTGTAGCATATTTCTGTCCTTCAATGATTAACCAGCTTTTCCACCATTTGCCCATGACTGCTATTATGCTAATCAACTGTTAAACAGCTCACTGTTCAAGCACAAATCACTTCCTATTTATGGAAGTTTTCCAAGTATTTCCAGTTTTACTAAAAAACAGCAGAGCTTCTCAGGATTTCTTTGATTCAGGGTAAGAATTAACATTGTCATAACTTGCACAGCAGACTCAATTGATTTAATATGTTCTTCTATGACAGATGGTATTTAAATCTGGCTTAGTCACTAGACTGAAGTGCATATCATCATGACTGTCCTCAAACAAGCATATTTATACAAAACCTTTTAGAAAAGACAACAACATTAACAGCATCACTTCCATTCTCCCCACAGGGCCAATACCACTGTTAAGCCCTCTCACTCCTTGAAAGAACCTCGATTTCTTACACTCCATTTTCTTCTTTTTTTTAATCTATTATACAGTCTTTCTAATTCTAACAGTCATTCCAACACTGAACTCAGATTGGGTTCTGCTGACTCATTTGAGAACCATGACTTTTTTGCTGTCAAATGCTCATAGGAGGTGACCCAATTCTCATTTAAACTTACTGTTTTCAGTTTTTATTCAGCACTGCACAGCTCTTGAAATATCCAGCTATATATACCTGGTTTGTAACATCCTTTGAGCATGATACACGATCAAGACACAAACACTGGTCTGTCCTAGCAATTACTGATTTCCTTTCTTACAGTTAGTCCCATTCTTGCTGTATGACATCCCAAATGCAGTTCTCTCAAAAAGGATGTGGGATTTTTGTGTAAAAAAAAAAAAGAAAAAAAATCACAATCTATAGGTCAGGTAATATCTCAGTATCTGCACATGATACTTCCAGAACACGTCCCAAGCTGAATGCATCTACAAACATGGTTTTTCTTTCCATGTTACAGAATAACAAACATATCCGGTCTGTTCTGTTAATTCAGACTTTATAGTTCCACGTTATCAGTAACAGAACAAGGGAATGGTCTCTCAGAAAAGGTTATACTCAGTGATTCTAGCATTGTACCATTTGATTTACTCCAACACGTTTCAGTAACACCAAAGCTTCTCAAAGAATTTTCAGCTACGCTGTCATGTCACTTTGACACCAAGCACTGATTTTAACTGCATAATATACAGATGCATACAAAGCAATGGGAAAGTTTCTTTTCACATTCTTCGTAGAGATGAAATGGCATCCAGGCTACGCCAGGAGAAAGGGCAAATAAGCACAACCAACACTAAACAGTATTTTCTGAAGTTTTAGCTACTGTAAAGGGACAGGACCATCACAGGTCGTCTTCAGCTACAAGCCTCACAAACATTAGGTCATGCAGTTACTCCACATCAGTCTACCCTTATATCCTCAACGCTAACAGCCTATGGCAAGAGGAAAAAGTATTCCTGTATTATTTGCATCAGTTGCCAAGTTCCTTGAAATCTTTCTGCTCAAAGCAGAAAGCTCCACAAATAACAAATTTCTTTCCAATTCTTAACTGGTTTCTAATTGCAAAGAACTAACTCTTCAGAGTCTGTCTTAACAGAGAAAGTGTTCTCTTTCCAGTACAGGAAGTCCTACCTGTTGGGTTTTCCTAAACTCTTCAAGTAGTTTTAAGGCCATATCATAATCTTTTAGTAAGTGGTATGCAATGGCATATCCAATCCATGAAGCCCGTTGTGTGGGGCGCAGCTGAAGTAGCTGGTATCTTGTCTCCTTCAGAAAAAGAAAAGCAATTAAAAATCACAGAGATGTTAAAAAATAGTTATACCGCCTTTATCATGACTTACCACCAGTACAGCTAGCATTTTAAAAGAGCTTTTAAGAGTCCTAAGCAATCTTGGAAACTCTAACAGCATGAGGAAAAGCAGCATGTCTCCATCTCATGAATTGGGGGGCCACTTAGAAAATATAGGCATCATGGCTCAAAGCGTAAAACCTATTTGCTGGGACACAAAAGGTGTCACTTCCAAGAGTACCTCTTGAGGGCTTAAATTGTTTCCAAAGACAGAGGTCTGAAATCTCAGAGAGGGGTTTCTGTTAAAAAGCATGAGTTCACTGCCACTGAAACAGCAGTCCCACTCTCCCCATCCCCAGGCACAAGGTCCTTATACTTGTACTGCTGCAGTACTTCTCAGATTCCCTTCCTGAGTCACATCATGACCCCCAAGTCAGTTATTTTCCCTTTTCTTGCATTAGCAAATTCAACATCCTCAGTGAAGCAGACCAAATAATGCTGAAGCCCACAATCCAGTCCTCTACTTCACATGAAATAAGAGGATGGAAGAGGAGCAGGACTTATCCCTTTCACAGCCAAATCAGTTCAGCCATTTTGAAACCATTCACTCTATTTTTAGACAAATTTTAAGGTTTTGTATATGGTAAAATCAGTATTGGGATTCAAGAAATCAGTCATCATGGGGCAAGTTTCCCACATACTCAAAAAAAACATGAAATGAACACAACCAAATGCAGTACTTCACAACAGCACAGTAAGTACTCCTACTTGCTAAGCTTAAAGTCTTCTCCTTTTTATTTTCATTATTTTAGTAAAAAATGAGCTGAGAACTATAGTTTTACAAGGCGATTCACATGTCACACTGTACAGAATAACTGTACCTCTAGTTCTGCTCTCAACACTATATGGAGCTCTGCTGCAATATGTTTTCATGCTTTCCTATACAAGAGCTTAAAACACTTCTGAAACAGCAAAAACAAGTAGCAACATAATTACTACCAATAAAAGACTTAACAGAGTAACAAAAGAATGCTAGCAGCAAAAAGAGAGGAATTCAAAGGGAATACTTACTCTGTATCCTTCCAAATCCCTCATCTGAATCTGCAACAGAGAGAGATCTCTCAAGATCTGTAGATTATCTTTATCTAGTTTGAGTGCATTCCGGTAACACTTGATGGCTTCATCATATTTCTTATCAGAACGTTGCAAAAGACCATAGACATGCCAACCTAATGCACGCTAAGGAAGATAAATTCGCAATTTTCGCAAAGTAACTTCAGTGCATTCGTGTTACAGACCAAACAACCTGACACCTTCCTTGCAGATCAGCACCTTTATAAATTAAATTTGATTACTGCAACCAGACTTTACTGACACAATTTACAACATTAAATGCTTCCAAATAAGTAATAACAGAAGACCGTTAAACGAGTTTAAGTCAGTCAAAATCCCCTCAAAACACTGTTATACAACCTAAATGATCCAAACTCCACAATACCCTGAAGTTCTTCCTAGAAACGTATTGTTCATAACATGCTACTGTAATTACAGTAGAAATTCTTACTCCTAGAAATGTCTCCATAGCAATACAATTGGTGTATGGGTTTCACTTTTCCTCACTTGCCTATCTGTAACCTCAATTAGTCTCCAGATTTACAGTAAGGGATAAACACACAGCTACATTTCATTCATCGACAAAAGGAAATCTTAGCATTTCTGTGTGTCCAAAGTCTTTGTCGCTTTCTCAGCATCTCAGATTTCCATCAGTAGCATGTCACTTCAATAGACTTTTCTCTCGCAAGCATCCTTTTTTATCCTGGAAAGATTCTGAATTCAAAGCATGAAACCAACACAGCACAGCAATGCACTACACTGTGTGCGTTCACATCACTCTCCAAAAGTTGTATTAAAAGCAAGATTACTTGACATGATCTCCCTTTGGCTGCTCCAGGTTACTAGTAGCTCACTGAGGCAACACCTTCCACAGCAGTAAATCTGAACTTACTTTAATTTTCAAATTAGAAGTGGCTCAACAGTTCTTTCAAGAAGCTCCCCCATGTGCCCCTGAAGCAGCAAGACACAGCAAACCTTGGAGAGGTATATGCATCCTTCACCCGCGTTCAACTAAGATGGCACAAATGACTCAGTAACTCATAGCACTAACAACCAAAATATTTAAGAGTTGTTATGCTACCGAATTGAAACAGAAGCAATTGCTCCCCACAACAACACAATCACTTCTAAACTTTGCATCTCAAAAAGTCGAGAACGCACATGAAAATTCAATGTGTTAACCTGGTAAAAGTAATCAAAGAAACAGAAGTTCTCTCTTTCTTAGAAACACTCCTGTCCTGAAGTAAGTTCTAGATATGAAGACATAAAGCAGGTTTGTCATTATCAAGAAAGAAAGATGTAAAACTCTAGCCAGAAGAAAAGACCTGTGAGAATTAATATTCTCAAGGAAACACCTAATACCCAAGCAGGAGACCGTGTTATGCATTTCTACAGGAACACCAAATAAATTTCAGCCAGCTTAAGCACACAAAAACTCCAAATGCATTTTTGAGACTGCTAGGAGAGCTGCTATTGCTGCCGTGATGATTCAAGACTAAACGGTAAATGGGGACAAAATGCTTTTGTATACAGTTACAGCAGTTAGTCTAATACTGCTACTTCTTTCCATAAATCCTGCCTTGCTTATTTGAGTTCATGTATTCAGGACATTGATCAAAGTTAAACATATCATCTTCATACACCTGCCTCAGAACTACTGATACTTTAGATTCTCACCTAGAACAAGACAATTCAGTCCAAAAGAATTTATGTACACTTTTACAGTGTACTTAGACCAAGATGATGCTTTGAGTAATTCATCAGGCATCATTACCATTCCTGGATTCAACTGGTAACGTGTCTTAGTCTTTCACAATCATGTTCTTCACCAAGCTATCAAGTAAAGAAAAGCATAAACCCATTCACAAGTGAGTGTGTAGTGTAGTCAAGGCTAAGCATAAGAAATTTTAACAGCTGATACAAGCCAACAAGGCACAGTGCCACTGATTTATTACAGCAGACAGCTCCAGGCAGTCTTGCATGTGTTCCTACAGTGCCCTGAGTATCATGTGCCACTGTTTGAAACATTTATTCTTGAAATTGGTGTGGATATCTGACCAGATCATTACTCTAATTACATACAAAAATGGGTCAGAATTCATCTGTAGTTTTACCACAAAATTTCTGGGTTTCTGACAATTTGACAGCAGCCATTTTCCCCCAAACCTCAACATGGGGAATCATGGAAGAATTTAAATCTTCGACTCCTCCTTAAACAAGTCAGAACACTGGAGAGACCAGCTGTATTTTAAACACTCTCTACCAGGTGCTTTCTAAAAAGCACAGATGACAAAACACAAAAAAAATCACCTTCAAACGTTAACACAAGAAAGTAAGAACAGAGGTGTGCTGCACCTCCCCAAAGCCAGCTCCTGGAAGGAGGCTATTTTAGCAGCTGCCCTAACCTCTCCCTTTCAACCAAATGACAGGCACTGAGCTCACATAAAACAGGAGATGTAAACTTTACTTCAGAGAACCTCCCAGGCTCTGCTTAGGTAGCCCTGAGGATCAACAGGCCTTCAAGCTTTTTTCAGAGCTTCATGGCAAGTCACCAGCCATTGCAAAGGATGTAGAAGGAACCATTATTAAGCAGGCCAGTCAGACCTCAGTTCCTCACAAGCTACAATATATACTCTCCTAGTCTTGACTTTCACCATGTACTGGAGCCCCACCATCAGGAAAGATTCAGATTATTTCAGTAGTGACATTATGACAGCACATCAGGTTCTCTTAAAGTGTGGTAATAGGAAAGGAGGTTTGCTATTTCTTTAGAATTTACCAAGAGATGACAGCCGAAAGTACCGTGACAAATCTGATGCCTAGTCTGGAATTAATTCAGTATCAGCTAGCTTGTGCTCACTAGAGCAGCAATTCTGCACAGACAGATCACTCTAGGGCATTCTCTGTAGAGCTGCAACAATACACCCAAATGCAAAAAGTTGGAATTTCTTGCTTCGTCTGAACTAGTTCTATAGATGCAGCTTAAAAAACCCAACATGGGTGCCTAATAGGATTCAGATGAGTTTACACTTTCCTTGAATTCAGAAAACAAAAATCCTTGTAGTCCTCTGAAGGCAAGCCAAGTTTAACAGGTCAGTAAAACAGTGATAAAAATCCACTGAAATGCATAATAAAAAACATCAAGTTTTTTTAAACTTCTCTAGGAAGGGGATCCCTTTGACCACCCCCATCCCCCCAAATTAGACCTGAAAAAGCACAGAGCCCTCCAACATTTGTAGAGTAGTCTTCTAGATAGTTTTAAGAGTCAGCATGAACTGCTGACAAGAATTAGTGATGCCGGTAAGTTCCACTCTGGAATTTAGTTTAGGAATCAGAAGCCCCCAGAACTCTCCACTAACTCACCCAGATTCTTTTGCTCCCCGATTTAAAGTGCAAGACTTCTTGCACAAAGATTAAAGTTGCTTTGGTATTCCTTCGGTGTTCAGCTTTTAAGATCAAGAAGGTACATATTATCTTCGATTGTTCTATGGCATACCTCTAGTAACTCTGATAAACCTCCAGACGCTTATGGGGTTCTTCCCAAGCTCAAGCTCCCTGGACATTTAGTATCGGAATGGTGCAAACAGCCATCTCTTTGTCTTAACTAGATGGCCATGAAGAAGTGTTTCCTGGGATTTTTTTTAACGTTAAAACCAAACATTTACTGGGAAATTTGCCCCTTAACACGAAACTCAAACACATACAGAACAGGCAAGGCATTCTGTGCAAGTCTGAAGTAGTCTCCTACCTGTGGCTTAAACAGAAGACAGCTACTCCCAAAGGCCTTGGGTAGCTGTTAAGCATTTCACTTTTGGAAGACAAGCTTAGAACAGAGTAGTAGTCATCAAGCCAGCAGATCTAAACCATCACCTAACATTTAGTGGCAAAACAGATACTTTCCAAGCACCTCTAGATTAGATATCTTACACCTTTTTAAGATGAAAGAAAACTTCAGAAAAGGCCAGATTTCACAAGCCATACCTATTTCTCTGCAGAAAGTGAACATAGATGGTCTTTACCTAAGACATAAATGTAAAAGGCTTTTTCCTTAAAGATTCTGCAAAACTGTAGAAAGGAAAACAAAACACGATTTCAAGTATTTGATTACTGATTAATATTCACCACGCACACCTTATTTTAGACTTTCATACAGACCATGTTATGTGCTACAAAAGTATGTACTGATGTAGCAACAAAAATCATACATGCAGAAGTAAGAAATCCTAGAAAAAAGATCAGGTTTTGTATTAAAAAGGATACAGACATGACTCTTTACATCATTACGAAGTCCTTTACGAACAAATTCATATGCTTCTTCCTTCTTCCCTAAGCAGTTCAGGGTCAGTCCTTTCATCGCAAGCGTCTCTGTAAGAAGTATCATATACTTATGTTTCTGACTTCCCATATGCCAGTTTCACAGTGCAGATATCCTTTGAAGTTGTTACACAGTCAAGTCCCCCATTAAATGATAAATTTAGATCAGGATAGCAGCCTAGCACAGCTGAAGACTGTTATATGGAAGCATTTCCTTTCTTGAAATTGGTCTTAAAAACAACTGCTGCAGAGCATCATACACATGATGAACACAGACAACACAAACTTTATTAATTAAAAAACACATTTAACTGGCTTGAAGGGAGTTAACAATAAGCTAAAGTAATTTTAAAGAGCTTCTCAATGTGCATTAAAGTTCCAGGTAGGCAGAACAAGAAAAAAATTCATTATGTTCTGTCATACTGTAAGAAATAGATCTCTGTCACAGTCAGCTCCACTATTACAGCTTGCTTACAAAGCGGCAGTCAAGAGAAGCGTATTTCCTGCTACAGTATTTTCGGGGTAAAAGACCTTCTCAAAGTAGTGGCATTTTAATCAATACTCTGAGAGGCACAAGATTCCAAATAATACATTGGTATGACTATTGCTCCCCCTCTTCCCCCATTCTTCAAGTAACACTGTGGAAACAAGTCACACATAAAGCAAGCACTATGCCTGAATGTTGTTCCAGAGTCGTATTTCAGGTTTTTGCTAATTAAGAGAGCACTTAGTTTTGGCCCCAGCAGAAGATTAGTTACATTTTCATGAAGGTACTCTTGATTTTCCTCCAACTGCAACCTTTTCCCCAGCATTAATAGCAATGGCCCATCATCTCAAGGTCAGCCACAGCAGCAGTTTGAAGTTTCATTGACAGATCTATTTTAACACCGTTTTCTGTAAAAGTACGCTTAAAGTGAATGACAACCCAAAATAAGCCAAGGTTTTTGTTTTGTTTTTCATTGTCCTACAGCCACACTGTAAGAACCAAGAAAGCTAGAATGACACCTTCCCAATAATACCAGGAAGCTTGAAAAAGAAGATCCCCACTGCGGGAAGGAGGGCAGGTTACTCCTACCTTCCTACACCAGGGAGATAACTGTCCAGCCACAGCAACCCATCTGTTTGTCACCTTCTCACTAAGTTTTTCAAATTCCTTGTCTCTGAAGCTGTGACAGCAGTGCAGCTTCCCATCAGATCATTTCATTGGCTTAGTTCTGCTTCAGCTGTTCGTTCCAGGCTTTGCTCCCAAGCTCCAAAGCTATTAGTGGCTCAGAGCCCAAGTAGTATGCGGACTGCCAAGGCAGCTAGCTAGCTGTCCTGGAAAAGTTTTAGAGGCAGCAAGAGCAGAAAAGACAGAGATAGTATACTAAGATGTTATAAAAACACTAGTGCTAGCAGAGGCAAATGCATCAGGTCAGAGCTGGACAAGCCAGTCTAGCTTTGAAGTAACAAGAAAACTCTACTTTTATCTCTAGGGAAGTAACAAAGACAACGGAGAAACAGCAGGCACTGATAGAAGCATGAAAAGGAGTAGTCAAACAGTTTGCCAAGATTTGACAATGTCAAATAGGAAAATAATTTTACTGACACAGTACATGCACACTCCACGTTAAGTTGCTTCAACAGCAGACAAACAAGAAAAATTCACTGTATCAGAAGGAAAGGTTGGCTGAATCATGCAACAGAAACCCTGTAATACAGTAAAACTAGAGTATCTTATCGAGGATTAAGTTTTGACAAATGTAAATAGAAGCAACATCTTGCTGTCCCATTTCCTGCAACATTTATCACAACAGGGTCTTCAGATTCTGCCTTTGGCATCAAGTCTTAGCAGCAACAGTACTACACTTTGCTCTTTGTAATCAGCAATTTGGTATGCAGTACAGAAAAATTTAGAGTATGAACTTGACAAAAAAGCATGATTTTTAATTCACTGGTAGAATACCTTCATGCAATCTTCAAAAAAAAAAAAAAAAATGCTGGGCTTGCTGTTAAACAGGAATGCAAGAAAAACCCACACTAGCATTCTGACCCAGAAACCTAGAAAGGTCCACTAAAGTGTGCTTCCACAATGTATTTTGATCTTCTTCATCCCACCGCACAGGAGTGTTTGACTGAGCTAAGTTGGAAACTTGGTCTACATGCACAAAGACTGAAAATCCAGATTATTCAGTCATAAAGACAGAATCATACCCAGCAACGGACTCCTTTCTTTCCCAATAGTATAGAAGAGACTGATTATACATTTAAGCTCATGACTGGAGAAAAAAATAAAATCTTTTGAGTCTGCAGTTACCTCCATGTTCAGCGAATTTCGGGTTAGACAGGATCATCTTGCAGAACTTGAGTCCATTTTTGTACTGTTTTTGTTCGTAACATTTCTGGAAAAGAGGTGGAATACGATCACTGAAATGCATTTGAAAACAGAGTACCTTAATGTTCTATTAGAAGTGCAGTAATGCTTTCAGTAAGGTATGGTAATCAGATCACTAACAAGCTCTAGTTGAATATGACTATTCTTATTACACTGTCTTTTTTCAGCATTCAGAACAGTATCTGCTTTCATTTACATGCAGCCAATGCTCTACCTCATGGTCTCCTTTTTATAAAGTTAGTAATTCCTTTTCAGCAGAAACAGGAAAGGCAAGTAGGAATGTCTACTTTGATTCAGAAATTCTCAAAAATAGAGCGCCAAGTCAGAAATCTTGACTCTATAGAACTTATGAGAAGAATTAGTTTTAAAGAACCTAGACACTCCTTTCAACATCCCATCTCCCCGGCCTAGTGACCTCCAGGAGTAAGAAATTTCAGACAGAAGACTTTGCTTGTTGCCAATACAGACTTTTGGGAGGAAGAGAAAAACGATGAAGTAGGACAGACCTATTGAAACCTCAAAAATCTATCTATAGATATCTGAGGAGGGAGAATTTACCGAAGTATTAAAAAACCATCTTATTTCTAGCTGGAATAATACAGCTAAGGGCTACTTACAGATTTATTTAGGGTACCATTTACTCATTAGATAAAATGGCAAACAATGTGGTTCAACTGTGGGAACACAAGGAAAAAAAAATATCAACATGTGAACCTGGGTCCCTTTTCTTCCTTTGAAAGGCACTACCTGATGTTAATAAGTCATTAAGGTCCTAGGTAATTCAAATTGGTTACTGATCACTGCAGTTGATCACCACAAAACAAATTTACTTAAGCCAGTTAAAGGCATGCTTATATCAGTAAGTACAAAAGTGATTTAAGGTCATTTAAGCTTCTTACTTTAAAGGAAAAAAAAGTCACCAAACCAGGCTTAACTCGGCACCATTTTCAGTTAATAAGGTGTACTGTCCTGCTGTAATTTAGACAGCTATTCTCTGTCATTTCAGTTATGTGCTAGAGTATTTTAACTGTCTCACAGATCACTCCCACTCCATCAATCTTCTAGGAGAGAGGTAAAACCTATGTTAAATTAATGCAGAGTTTAGTAACTCCTCTGCAGTCATAATACACCATCGTACTGCTTCCCAGGGTACAAGCAATACAGAAACATACCTACGCTCACTTTTGGGTAATCGGCTGAGGTGCCAAAACAAGGGTCCTACTCCAGTCTGTGGCAAACGGCTTAAGGGCAGAGAGATTGTAAGTCTTTGCTGCCTGAAACTCAAGACACTTGCTGTTAACCATGCTTAAGCGGAGACTAAATTATAGAATAATTTAGGTCAGCAGGAACCTTTGGAGGTCACCCAAATCATCCCAAATCAAACAAAGAAGAGCCAATCTTGATATTAGATCAGGCTGCTCTGCCTGGCTTACTTCTGGCAGGATGGTCAGGGAGTTCCCATCAGAGGCAAATAGTTATACTACGGCAATTAACATTTAAACTACAGCAACAAAAGAGCTTTGACAGTTTTAAACTGAGACCTAGTTCCAAACATCTTTATCTGAAATAATGCAGGTTGCAGCAAAACTTGGGAGTCTCCTCTAGCGGAAGGTCAAATTCTCTCATTGATCTATTTTCCCTTTCTTAAAATCAGATGTTTAGTACCATTTTTAAAGAATCATAAGAAAATACCAACAATGCTCTAAGTATGCTTTCTAAATTCATTCAGACATGCCTAAAAAAAGGCATCATGAATGTTCATCTACGACGCCACAACTCTTGCAACGTTGAGTGAAACTCCAAATATACAGCAATGCTTAACCATAAAACAGAAAATATTTGAGTCAAGTGTGCACTTAGATTAACCACTTGAGGAAATCATCTATTATCCTTGTTCTGACATTTTTATCCCATAGAGTTCAATCTCAGGCCTAGAATAAGACTTGAACTTAGATAATTACAGACAAATTTCAGGTTTTTGGAGGACAAACAAAATCACATTTTCCAAAGGCCAACAGATGGAAGAGAGAAGTTAATGCTCTCCACCAAGACAAAAGCACAAGTCCAACATTCACAGTTGCTTGGCTTGCTGACAGACAACCAGCATATTTGTGTTTGTCAGTAAACAGGTTAGCTCAAAACCAGACACAAACCACAGCATTTCTTGCCCAGCTGCTAGTTACGAGACTAAAGAGGTGCTGACTACAGAAACGCCATGAATCAGTATGAAATGCAGCTTTATGCAACTCCACTGTTTATGGTACAAGCCTTGCTGGTTAGTCAAAAGGTGACTTCCCAGCCCCATTTCCTCCAAATACATGTGCCTTTGCAAATAAGTTACGTATTTACACCAGTACATTGGCTTAAATGTATACCAGCATAAGAGAAAAGGACTTGGCTCAGCATTACGAATTCTTTGACTCTCAATCATCAACACATATAAATATACCAAAAGGCTTACAGATTCAGTTACATGGACAAGCCTGGGGCTTTAAAGCATCCAAACCTCATGAATGGACTGCTTTTAAAGTTCTGTCTATCCAAAAACTGTGAATGAGCACACCATGCTCCACCCGTATCCTGTTTACAGGAGACCAGAGTTTGATGCCATACGACAACATCTCATTTTGTAGTACAGATGGGAATTTCATAGTTGAGAAACCTGATGTCTCCATATGTATTCCCAAGTTTCATACTAAGTAGGACAAATATAGCTGAAATGCCTTCATGAGTACCTGTCCCATTGCATTAAGTCTTTGGTATACTATAAGCTCAGCTAATACACTGGGTATGGGGGGCGTGGGGGTGGGTTTTTGTGGTGTTTTTTTGTGTGGTGTTCCACCCCCAAACAGCCTTATCTGTTGTGCTTAAGATGAGGCTCCCCATCACCCTTTTATGTCAATAATTTCCTGCTAAAACTAAAGCCAAATCATGAAATGTTTACACACTTCAAACCTCAAAGGGAGATTTTGGCAAGGCCAAAATGTCATCCAGAACTTCTTCTACCAGATGTTCCTGGAAGGATGTTATCTTCTCTGGCAAACATCTCATCCTGGTTTATTCCCTCTTTCAACACTAACTCAAAGATATTATCTACTTGTAGACTGCCATAAAATTAAGCTAGGTATCACTTCATGCATTTCCAGGTAAGTACCAAGTGCCTCAACATAAAGGTCACACAGGCACAGCATCTAGGAAGTAACTGTAAAGGTAAAACTACTTGTAATGAGGATACAACAATGAAGAGCGAGAGGAGACTTTAATCCTATATTACAGTGTTTTGCTGCTTCTACTTAAGGAACTGCCATTCACAAATTCTAACTCTAAAAAGATGCCATGATACAAAAAATAAGAGACAAAACTCCCTTCCACTACTAAATATCAAAAGAATCAGGGATCTGAATGGCTTGCTAACATTACTTATAAAACAGAAGGACTCCATGTATCACTACTCAATTACGCTTGCCATTTACACATAAATTATGTTTAACTATTTGCAACATCAGGTTAGTAAAGGGATGCTTTTACAGACTACACCTCGCTAGACAAAGCATTTGCCACTTCAAAAAAGGCCTTGCATTGAAAGAACAACTACGTTTTTCATATACTGAAAATAGAGTTTAATACACAGATCGGCAATTTTATGACTGAAGAACATCTCATCATGGCCCTTGGACATTAACACTCACTTCTGAGAAGCCATTTAACAAAGAAAATCTCAACTCGCAACTCAAAGACAGACTTCAGTTGTGGCAACCAATTCCCTTCCTCACTCCCTCTGTCCCTAGTGCCTCTGAACATGCTGAAGCAACACAGTATTACTTCATAAACCATTTTCATGTGAAGGCTGAATAAAATGCAGTATCGCATTCAAAGAATGAGGACAGGTATCACACCAAACCACATAGCAGCGTTAAGCATAGCAGCTAGGCTTCCTTGATCAACTCAAATGTTTGAAGCTTTGTTTAAGATATTCTGTGACTGTAAAAGAGCTTCAGAAGTTCAATCCAAGGGAGACGCACTGACCAGTCTCATGGTGAGCATGTGTGAAGGGGGTTTAAGAAAGATGGGGACAGGATTTTTAGCAAGGCTTGTTGCGACAGGACAAGAGGTAATGGTTTTAAACTAGTGAGGGCAGATTCAGACTGGAAGTTATTTACAATTAGGGTGGTGAAACACCGGCACAGGCCAGAGGGGTGGTAAATGCCCCATCCCTGGAAGTATTCAAGGTCAGGTTGGACCGGGCTCTGAGCAACCTGATCTAGTGGTAGATGGCCCTGCTCATGGCAGGGGGGGGGGGCTACATAACCTTT